TCTCTGCCTCTTTTTCTCTCTTTCTTTTACTTTCTTTTTTTTTTTTTTTTTCAGGCTTGCTGTATTGCCTAGGCTGGAGTGTAGTAACTCAATCTTGCACTACCATGCCCAGCTAAATTTTGTTTTTTAGTAGAGACAGGGTTTCACCATGTTGGCCAGGCTGGTTTTGAAATCCTGACCACAGGTGATCCACCTGCCTTGGCTTTCCAAAGTGCTGGTATTACAGATACAGTAAGAGCCACCACGCCAGGGATTCTCCCTCCCTCCCTCCGTCCCTTCCTCCCTCCCTCCCTCCCTTCCTTCCTTCCTTCCTTCCCTGCTTCCTTCCTTCTCTTCCTCCCTCTCTCCCTCCCTCCCTCCCTTCCTTTCTTCCCTGCTTCCTTCCTTCTCTTCCTCCCTTCCTCTCTCCCTCCCTCCTTCCTCTTTCTTCCTTTCCTTTCCCTTCCCTTCCCTTCCTTTTCTTTTCCTTTCCTTTCCAAGTTTTGCTATTGTTGCCCAGGCTGGAGTGCAGTGGTGCAATTTCAGCTCACTGCCACCTCCACCTCCCGAATTCAAGCAATTCTCCTGCCTTAACCTCCTGAGTAGCTGGGATTATGGGCGCCTGCCACCACACCCAGTTAATTTTTGTATTTTTAGTAGAGACAGGGTTTCACCATGTTGGCCAGGCTGGTTTGAACTTCTGACCTCAGGTGATCCGCCTGCCTTAGCCTTCCAAAGTGTTGGGATTACAGGCGTGAGCCACCGCACCTGGTCTTCTTTCTTTCTTAATAGAGAATTGTGCCTTGTAAACTTAAACTGTGCTGTTTTGGAACGCAAGTTTTTTATATGGCAGATTTCCATGAAGAAAAAAATGTACTTATTGATTGAATTGTGCCATTAGCATTAGAATTAGATTTATAACAAATATGAACACTGTAGTAAACTTGCAAACAAAACAAAGCAAAAAATTGTACTTGTTATCCCCTTGTTGAATCTCCCCCTCTGTTTCAAATTAATTAGATTTTTGGTAACTATGCTAAACTTTGTCACATTCTTATTAAAATGGCTTAAGAATTTTGAAGAACAGCTCAGAGGGACTCTGAAACTAATCTGAGTCTGGTACTGCAGATTCCATTAGCAATTGCAAAACTGATTAATCTTTTACCCAGTTAGCTTATCGATCATCACTGCAGTTACTCCCTGTAATAGATTATGCAAGGGATAGCAGAATAAAACACGTTTTATAACTGCTGCTGACATATTCAGTTTGAACATAATATTTTGTACTCTATATAATTATTTCTGCACTTTTAAGTTCTGGAATACTTCTAAGATAGAAAGTGTGCTTAATATTGTTTCAGTATTACAAGATGTACTTTTAAATTTCTTGACTATTAATGTATTACGATTTACCAAGTGTGTTCACTAATTCTATTGCTGCAGTTTAATTTTTGAGCCTCACAGTAACCCTATGTGTTAGGGTAAATATTCCTCATTTGGAGTAAACTAACATTTAATAAAGTTAAATGACTTCCTGAAGGCTATATAAGTTAATGAGTGGCAGACTCAGAATTCAACCCCATTTCAATCAGTAAGTATTTATCAAACACCTACTCTGTGCAGAGTTTGTATTAGGTCTAATAAATGCCGGGATAGGATTATAGAGGTGAAGGTGAAGTTATTTGGATAACTTTAAGTAATGTTATGAAGATTACTTTGTTATATTTTGGTCCAAGCTATTATGTTCAGTGTCTTGGTGTACCGGGTTTAGGGGTTTTTTTGGTTGCTGTTTGTTTCTTTGTTTTTTTCCTCGTTTTGGTTTTGGTCATTATTGCTTATTTTATCACTATTTGGAACAAAATTGGAAATAATCCCTTTAAAGGAAGAGTATATAGAAATGACACTGATAGATCCAGATCTAAAAGCAATTTGCTGCCTAGGCGTGATGGCTCACACCTGTAATCCCAGCACTTTGGGAGGCTGAGGTAGGTGGATCACCTGATGTAAAGAGTTTGAGACCAGCCTGGCCAACATGGTGAAACCTCATCTCAACTAAAAATACAAAACTTAGCTGGGTGTGGTGGTGGGTGCCTGTAATCCCAGCTACTTGGGAGGCTGAGGCAGGAGCATCACTTGAGCCTGGGAGGTATAGGTTGCAGTGAGTCACAATCGTGCCACTGTACTCCAACCTGGGCTACAGAGCAAGACTCTGTCTTTCAAAAAAAAAACCACAAAAAAACAAAGAAAATAAAACCCAATTTGCTTTGCAGTTTATTAGTTACTGTCTTCTCCATTTTCCCATGTGAGCCTCACAGCTATCCTCTGGGTAGGTCCAGAGGTTAGCTATGAGGTCATTTGTAAAATTAAGATTTTACACATGAGTAAAGTGAGGCACAGTGAGCATTTCGTCACAGAGGTCACGTGCTGGGAGATGACGGCTAGTGATGAATCTCCTGGGTTTGAGCCCTCTGAGTCTTCCATGTGCCTTGCTCATCTCACTGGGCAGCAGGGACCTGGTGGCCGGTCAGGACTGCTCTGTGCCAGGAGGTACGATGCATGGCCCTGCGTTTTATCCTTCTTCCATTGGGAATGCTCTGTAGGCAGTAGCCTGAGCTTCTAGGCCTAGTGCCTTGTTGGTGGCCTGCTCCTCAGGGGTCAGTTGTGTAGGGGCCCGCACTGTGAACTTGATTACCTCCCTTTACAGTATGTCCTTGTTGGTGAATTACTTTCCTATGTGGAACATAAGCTTCTCCACAAATACAGACACAGATCAAACACAGTAGTTCAGCAGGAGAAAATACAGTTGGATTTAGAGGAAATATAAAAAACAAAAAACACAACCTAACTACTTGCTTTAGAGAAACTGTTAAGTGGCATACTTAATATCACTACTGTGACTATGTTAATCGTAGTACAGAGAGATGTTTGTACATGGCTTAAAAATTCTCACAATGGTTATAAAGGTATATATAGTTTGCCAGTTGATTTGGCACAGACCAAAAATGAAAGGAAAACCATTTTTATTTATTTATTCTGTGAGGTAAATAAATAAAGCTGGAAAACAGGTCAATTTCATGCATGCAAGGTTTTATAGTGGCAAAAAAATGCATTGCACCCGTTCTGACCCTTTACATTTGAGGTTATTTGTTTTCAAACTTGACCCCAAGCACCAGTTTTAGACATCTCTATAATTAACTTGTTAGATAAAGCATAAGGATATTTTATTTGTCTTGATTTCTGGGTCAATGGCAAAGTAGTAACTGAAATTTCTAGCCTATTGTACGTAGCAGTTAATTAAAGAAAAGCATTAACTATAGGAGAACACACCACTGCTGTTGTCTTGTATCAGTACAAAAAGGCAGTAATTTTTTTGACAGCCACTGATTGGAAAGTTGCTTGCAGCCTTCCAGAAGCAAGGGGGTACATGCTGTGGATCAATAACCGGCAAATTTCCCATTAAAAAGAATACCTGAGCAATGTTCCAAATAGCCACTGGCATCTTAATTTTCCGTGGAAACCTCAAATACTTGTGTGCCGAGGACCAGCCATTTTCGGACAATTTTTCCAGACTACTTGTTAACAGTTATTGCTGTCCCAAAAGGTTGACAGCCTGCATGATTGATATTTCATTTACTTGTCATCACTGTTTGAGTAATGGAGAGTGCTGTATTTCTGTGGCTTTAAGGAACAGAATCTCGTGAAAGACATTTGCCTTAGTATGTATTCCAGGAAGTGTGTTGCACAGGTTTATGCTGTATGTATATAAGTTTTTTATGTCTGTAGAAGGAGAGAATCACTTTTCTTTCCAGTTTGAAAGCCTCTGGAGAGCTGGGTACACTTATATCAGTCCATAGCTAGCCAACGTCCACCTTCACTTTGTTGTAAGTGCAAACAGCCTTAGATGTATTAACTTGTGATTCCCAAAATGATGTAGAATGTTCTAGCTCCCCTTTATTTTCAAGAGAAAAAAAAATCCCCTTGCTCTTGTAATAATTGTAATGTACATAAAAGCAACAGGAAGATAGATGTGGTATCTTCTAAAAGAAAGAAACTCTTAAAGAATGTCAGCAAACAATGGTAATCAAGGAGGGATTTCCTAAACATACAGTATTTAAATAATATGCACATGTTTTCAATATAAAAACAGCGAGGATAAAAAGGGTGTTCTGCTCTTTGACAGCCCCTCAGAACATAAAATCAGCAATTTTCATTGCGGATATTTTTCTGCCATGAGCATCACTTTGTTGTTTGTCAAACGTTGTAAGATGTAGAGCAAAGAAGACATCTCCAAATTAGGTGGATATATGCTCATCAATTAGCGTATTGAAAATGTCGGAATCAGACGAGAGTACAACCTACTGAATAGTTCGTGTTTACTAAGGAGTGTGAAAGGTTTTTCACTTAGAACTTTATTTTTTTTGCACAGAATTTTACAGTGCAATTTTATCCGTACTAAAGTGTTTATAAGACTAAAGCATAAAAGGTATGTGTGTTTGAAACTAGGCTACCTTTTAATCATGTTAATCCTGTCATCTCTGGATGGGTCATATCTTGTTTTTTGTTTCCACAGTCTCTGTGATTTAGATTCCCATTATCTGTGCATTTTATATACAACTGTGAATAATGTTCGATTAACTGGCGTGTAGATCCAAGCCAGATGTGAAGCGTCTTCATTTTGCTTTGCAAAATCCAGGGAAAAAGAACAAGAGGCAATTTGGGAAATTCTACTAAAATACTTTATGTGTCGTTTAAATATATATCATTTTCAAATATTTCTTAAATACTAATATAAAATCTTAACACTTGTAAAGATAAATGCCAGGGTGAAGGCTAACACACTGGACTTTTAATCGTAAATATTCACTATAGTCATTTTGATGTGCTGGTAGGGGAAAAGTATTTTCAAGGCTGATATGTATATACCAGCAATTTACAGAAGTACCGTGAATTAAACAACCCATAAGTGTCTGTTCCAGTATTCATACATTACTGAGTAATCTCTTTCTATAATCTCTTTGCAGTATTATTCCACAGTAATGGAACAGCAAGTAAATGGACAGTTAATAGAACCTCTGCAGATATTTCCAAGAGGTAATGTTGAGCAAATTCTAATCAACAATGATTATTTCAGTAAACTGTTTCATCAACAGTTATGTTTTCCAAAGGTTTAAATGCACATAACATGATGTTTAGCTCTTAATTCGAAAAACAAAACAAGTATTCATTAGCGTGGGGATTGCAGGCTATATTATAGTTATGGCAGATAAAATATCTAATTTACTAGAGTAAATTAAACTAACTAGATTGTTTTTTGTTTTTGAAGCACATACTTACATTAGCTTAAAGAACTCTTTGGGGTCCACATGGTTTGTAAACCAAGGCAAATGAGTGACTTTAATTCTGGATATTTATAAATTGTGGCTCATGATGGTGGCCAAAGCTGCTATTGAGGAGAAAGCTTTCAGCTAGTACAGAAGCTAAGATTTACCGTGGTGTTAGGAGAGAAATTTTGGTGGAATGTTTGGTGCTTGTTTTGGGGGGCAGTATTTTCTAAATAATTGAAATTCTTCATAAATAGAAATTTGATTGTCTCCAAAAATGTGAGCTGATGAAAGTAAGTATCAGTGACTCCCTCGGTCAGATAATTTTCTTTTTCCCTTTTAGGTTTGGCAGCACTATCCTTATATCAGATATGATTGTTCAACCATGTATAAATGTTCCCTCAAAATTTGAATAATGGTGAAAAAGAACAGTTTAATTATATAAACCATTAAGTCTTTCACCAGTTATACATTGCCCCACTTGGAATCCATGTTTTCTAACTAATGGAACAGATAAGGAAATTCTCTAAGTAACCCTTCTAGAAATAACTTAATTGAAATAATTAAAAGTTAAACTTACCTCCGTTAACTGATACTGTACAAATAATCATGGTATGAGTTTTCCAATTAAACATTCTAGACTTTCATTACCTGTAACTCTCTGAAGTTTGAATGGCTCAATTAACCAGTAGGCTCCTATTTGCACTGATAAAGTCTCCAAAGGCAGCTGGCTTGGCCAACCCACAAGAAGATCTGGGTTCAAGAATAATACTGCTCTTCTAGCATACATGTGAGCAGCAGAATTGGGAGTGTTTAGTATATTACTAATAAGTTATTAAAGTGCTAAGTAAGTACGATTGGGCTATTCAAGGCCAGTGATAGTCCAAAACAAGGATTATGATTAATCCACTTCTGTTGTATTTGAAGAATAAGCACCAATACAAAAAAAAGTGAAAGAAATGTTGCTATTTTTGTGTATTAGGCCAAAGATTAGGATGTAGATTATTTCTTAATGTTTGCAGTGACTGGAGAATTTGGTCAAGTTTCAAAATTGTTTCTTCACAAGGAATAGTATTTTACAAACTGAAGATTTCCATTAATTTTTGTATGGACTTTATAGCTCTGCCACAGCAAACCCTATTTGCAGTATCCTAGAGAAATATTCTTCCAGGCAGGCCACAGTAGCTCATGCCTGTAATCCCAGCACTTTGGGAAGCTGAGGCAGACAGATTGTTTGAACTCAGGAGTTTGAGACCAGCCTGGGTAACATGTCAAAACCCTGTCTCTGCCAAAAAATACAAAAATGACCCAAGTGTGGTGGCACACACCTGTTGTCCCAGCTACTTGGCGTGCTGAGGTGGGAGGAAGGCTTGAGCCCAAGAGGTTGAAGCTACAGTGAGCCATGTTTATGCCACTGTACTGAGTGACAGAGCAATACCCTGTCTCAAAAAAAGAAAAGAAATGGCCGGGCACAGTGGCTCACACCTGTAATCCCAGCACTTTGTGAGGCCGAGGTGGGCGGATTACCTGAGGTCGGGAGTTTGAGACCAGCCTGACCAACATGGAGAAACTCCATCTCTACTAAAAACACAAAAAAATTAGCTGGATATGGTGGTGCATGCCTGTAATCCCAGCTACTCGGGAGGCTGAAGCAGGAGAATCGGGAGGTGGAAGTTGTGGTGAGCTGAGATCATGTCATTGTACTCCAGCCTGGCCAACAAGAGCAAAACTCTGTCTCAAAAACAAAACAAAGAAAGAAAAGAAAAGAAACATACTTCCAATGTTGTGGGTCTTCATTTTTCTCTAAAAAATTTTTTCGTTCTCTTCATCCAAATTCTTTCAAATTTTGTTTGTTTTCTTTCATTTTGTGAGCAGTCCCGTCATTCTCACTGTTCATGCCATTTTGCTTCTTCCCATGATAATCACAACCATTTTTAGATGTCTGCTCTGTTAAGGCATTAATATTGCTTTACACCTCATCATTTGTAATCCTTTCGATAGTTCTGGTATTAGGTATCATTGTTGCCAATTTGTGGACGAGAATATTGAGGTTCAGGGAGGTTAAGTAACTTCAAAGTCTCACAACTTATAAGTGGATACTATGCCTTTAAATAAGAATTTCATTTAAATTATAATGTGATTAAAATGGAAAGGCATATATATTAAAATATAATTAGAATGTGCAGGGGGGTAGTTTGGAGGGCTTGTTTTGGTGTGGGGAAAATGGTATATTATGGGGAGATGATACTTAAAAGAGGAAAATACATGATATATCAGTGTTGCATGTAGTCTTAGCATAAAACCCACTAGGTTGCAATAAATTGTTAAATATAGTCTTTATAAGCCAAATTTAAATATTTCAGAATATGAGACTTTTTAGTTCTGTGTTTTTTTTATATGCTATGGTATAATTGTTTTTAGCTTTTGGTAGTCTTTTGCATTTTGCCACATCGAATGTACATTTTATCATATATAGATAAGTGAAATTATGCAAATTTACAAAATCAATATGTAGGTATACTGGGTATATTTCCTGTGTCTACCTAGTTGGTTAGACGCCCTCAGACTTTAAAATCTATGGTTAGACCCGATGTTAAAAAGAATCTTTAGACTGAACAAGTAGGAAGGATAGGAGAAAATGATACTTTTTCCTTTTTTGTTTGGAGACAGAGTCTCACTCTGTCACCCAGACTGGAGTGCGGTGTGTGGCTCACTGCAGTCTTTATCTCCCCAGGCTGAAGCAATTCTCCTGCTTTAGCTCTTGAGCAGCTGCGACTACAGGCATGTGCTACCATACTGGGCAAATTTTATTTATTTATTTTGAGACAAAGTCTCACTCTGTCACCAGGCTGGAGTGTAGTGGCGCAATCTCGGCTCACTGCAACCTCTGCCTCCCAGGTTCAAGCAATTCTCCTGCCTCAGCCTCCTGAGTAGCTGAGATTACAGGTGTGTGCCACCATACCTGGCTAATTTTTATATTATTATTATTTTTTTTATGAGAGACAGTGTTTTACCATCTTGGCCAGGCTAGTCTCAAACTCCTGACCTTGTGATCTGCCTGCCTCCCAAAGTGCTGGGATTACAGGCGTGAACCACCACGTCTGGCCAATTTTTTGTTTTTTAATAGAGACAGGGTATCACTATGTTGCCCAGGCTGGTGTCAAACGAGGATCACTGTGTTACCCAGGCTGGTGTGAATAGAGACAAGGTATCACTATGTTGCCCAGGCTGGTGGAGCTCAAACAGTCCTCCCACCTCTGCCTCTCCAAGTGCTGGGATTACAGGTGTGAGCCACTGTGCCTGGCCATAATTCTGATCTGATAACATGTTCTCCTCATTCCAAATAGCACAATTGCCTTGGATAATAACTACCAGGTCATAGCAAAGTCCTCTCTGTTGTTAAAATATATATTAAATATTAATAAATACAAACATTTACTAGCTTTATAGTAATTCCTGACCTGATAACTTTAGGAAATATGAGGTTACTGGGTTTTTTTGATTGTGGTTTATGTCTCCAACTAAAAAAGTCTGAGAAGTCAATTAAGGAGTGAGGCATATGTTAAGTTTAGAGATCAGAGTTGATGCTTGTCTCTGATTCCTTGGTTAGGCATTATGTTTAAATGAAATTTATGAATGCACTGCTTACTTCAGTGGAAATATTTTGAAGTGTTGTCTTATGAAGTGTTGATGGTCCCTCAAGGACCAGGCATCAAACTCATGAGACTATAGTTGGTTCAAAAAGTTAATTTCCATTTTAAGGAAAGAAGATTTTGAGTCTTAATTTTACTGCATTTTAGAAAGGTAAGTAAAAACACTTTGTTACGGTTTAAACATATTTTCTAGGAAAAATAACATAATAAATTTGAGTATAATTGAAATATACAAAATGAAAGCAACTGATGTGTTTTATAATTATTACCCACTTTTTTTGTTGTTTGTTTTTGGGATGGAGTCTTGCTCTGTCACCAGGCTGGAGTGCAGTGGCACGATCTTGGCTCACTGTAATCTCTGCCTCCCCGGTACAAGCGATTCTCTTGCCTCACCTCACGAGTAGCTAGGATTACAGGCACCCACTATCACGCCCAGCTAATTTTTTGTATTTTTAGTAGAGACATGGTTTCACCATGTTGGCCAAGATGATCTCGATCTCTTGACCTCGTGATCTGCTCACCTCAGCCTCCCAAAGTGCTGGGATTACAGATGTGAGCCACTGTGCCTGGTCATTACCCACATCTTATTATTAAACAGCTTTATTTCTTGTTGTGAGAAACAGGAAAACCACATGTACATCTGAGAGAGGAACAACAACAACAACAACAACAAAATCAAATGAATCTTTCCCCAAACAATCAATCAAAATTGATGGCCCCTCAACATAGAATTTGTAGGGCACTGTAGTTTTCAGATAGAAGCGTCTGTAACATGGGCAGAAGGCTTTTGTATTTTTAACATTTGTTGAAGAAGCATTTGCTGAATTGGAAAAGTACCAACCTGTAACTCAAGGTGGTGTCAGGAAATTAATATTCTCTTTTTCTGTCACTGCTTTATCTCTAGGACTGAATATTAGCACGTGTCAAGATTTGTAAGAAATATAATAAAATTAGTTGTATATCTATATTTTAGTACATTTGACTCCTAATGGCTATGCAAGGTAGTATTCACACTAGAATGTTCCATCTTAGAACCCCTAGCAATCTTTTTGGCATTAAAAGATCCTTTTCTCATCACCACCCCCCACTGCCGCTCCGCAAAGAAAAACCCTTAGCTCTTTTCAAAGTAGTTTAAGTGATAGCAGATATACAATGTAATAGAATGAGGACAGATTGCAGAAATTTGAATTATGAAAGGAATCTAATCATTTTAGCTCAGTTAACTTGATTTTTATATGTTTTAAGCAGAAATTGGAATTTATATGAGGTGGTGTGAGAAAGCTCTTTGCATTTATAAATGCTCACTCCTGCAAGTTAAAACCCTGGTTCATAATTCCCACTTTGGGTCTTGGGAGCCACTTTTCAATCATTTCTCTCTGCTAATTTTGGTGTCACCCTCATTTCTTTTTAAACGATTCATTTTGAACAAATTTGTAAATGGCCCTGATGTGTTCTACAATTTAGTCAATTACTGTTTCAGCCTGCAAGCCTCCTGGGGAACGGAACATACATGGCCTGAAGGTACGAATTTCAATAATTGTTTCAGTAAAGTTAGATGGATTTGTAATGCTGTGTTCCACTTATTGAAATGTCAAATAAAACTGCACTTTCTCAAGCTCTGACAAGCGATCCTTTTTTTTTTTTTTTTTTTTAATGGGAGGTGGAGGGGGATTCATCTGTAGTATTTGCCCAATATCTGTATATATTTGGATACTGGGGGTTTGGTGCGGTATTTTTAATTATTTGGAATTGTGTTATTGGTCAGTGTCTTCAGGATAATCCTAGGTGCTGTTTTCTACGATTTATTTGAGTGAGAATATAGACTTCATTTCAGTGATTAAGCACATAAGCATATTGCACATGGAATACCCTCCTCTTGACATATTTATGCTAGAAACATATATCTAGTTAATGTCTTTTCATTCTGTGTATTTTGAATTCTGGATTTCTGTTTAGGGCTTCACATGTGAAAGAAAAGCTGGCTTTTGTATTAGGCTCAAATATTTTATAATTAATTACTTGGGCCTCATTTTTTTGGTGAATAAGAAACATTCTACATAGAGTGTTCTACTTGGTTGCAGAGCTAGAAGGATATGATAACTTGAGGTTCACTACGAACCCCTGGATATATACTTAATGTACTTTTTGAACATACTGTTTTTATATGTGTTCTAGATAGTGAGTTGGATTTTTACACTGTTTATCTCTCCTTTTTCACCACTATTTAAGTATTTAATGGAATAATGACAGTAATAGAGTATTATGTAATGTATGGGTTATACGGTTCTGTAACCTATATACTGAATAGACTCCAACCGTGAGTCTGTCTAGCAACAAGCTAATTAACCTTCATAGTGAAATGAGAAATTTGTGGCAAATTATAGGTTAATTAGAACTGTGTCCTCAGAACACAAGACTGATCAAGATTCTTTCTTTACTTATAGGTGAATACTCGGGCTGGACCCTCTCAACACAGCAGCCCAGCAGTCTCAGATGCCCTTCCAAGCAATAGGTGAGAACAAGCAAGTGAAGTGTGCTCTTGGTGTGATTTATCTACAGAGTTGGGGTGGAGTGAGGAAGAAACTAGAAAGAAATTTGACCAGTTAGATAACCTAGCTACATATTGACCAAAGAGAAAGGACCTCATATAGAAAGATGAAATGTTTAGATTTAGACTGGCTGCTCAAGGAAGGCTCTCTGGGGAGCGTTGGTGTTTCTGTTTTGACCTGAAGGATGAGAAGGACATCAAGAAGCAGAGAAGGGTGTTTCAGACAGAGGAAAGTGTGTAGGCGAAGGCCCTGAGGTGGAGAAGTTGCTCAGCATGTTTGTGTGTAGGCCAGTTTGGCTGGAGCACAGGGAGGGGTTCTGGGTTGGGGAAGGGGTGTGGAGAGAGGAGATGAGAGCAGCAGGAGTGATAGGAGCTAAGGAGGTAGACAGGACTCATCGTGTGGGGCCTTGTAGGTCGTGTAGTGTTTGAATTTTCCTCTCAGTGCACTGGTGAGCAGTTAGAGGGCTTTAGTAGGAGAGGGACGTGGCCAACCCTATGTTTTTAAAATATCCTCTGCCTGTGGTGTAGAGAATGAGCAGAAGCTCCCATCTAATCCTGCCCTCCTTTGATGCTTGACTCCATACCCCTTGCCAAGTGGTCATCAAACCTCTTCCTGAGCATCCCTGTGAGAGGAATGTACTTCATCAGCCAAGGCAGCTCCTTCTGTTTTTTCTTTGGCTACATCTCAGAAGGCTTTTTGTGAGCTGGGATTCGTCTTTCTATAGATTAAGTTTTAGTTTAGCCCTCAGAACGTGGTTGTTCCCTCTTCCAGGTGGACAGCTCTTCCAGTTGTCTTCCCTCCAATGCACTTCTAGATTTTCTGTCTCAGTAAATTCTCCCACATCCTGTCCATTGCTAAGTCCAGATAACTTGTGAGTCCTCCTTCACCGCTTTTCAGGCCTCCTTCAGTACCACATCCTGTCAGTGCCCAGACTTGCGGGTTCTACCTTCTGAGTAGCTCTGAGTCTTTCTACTTGCCAGCATTCCAGCTGCTGTGTGGGTGGCTCCCGCCCTCCACATCACTGCCACAGCCCCCTGAGAGTCTCCCTCCTCCATTCTTGCCCCATTCAGCCCCTCCTCCACCCTGCAGCTGGAGCCATCTTGCCAATGCACAGTCCTGAGCCTCAGTCGTTCCCTACTTTAAAACTTCACTGCTCTTCCTGCTTTCAAGATGAAGTGTAACCTCCACAGCAGGTGAGCCGTGGCCCTTCACATATGGGTGCTCTGTGCACGCCAGCTTGCTGGCCCACCTCTCCACCCCATCCCACCTGACATTCCAGCTTTGCTGATGAAAACATGGTGCCCTGAAGGGATCACTTTCTTCTCTTTACTGGGCCTGCACATTTTCCCATTTCTTTTCATCCCTACCTCGACCTTCAGTCTGGCTAACCTTGGTTATCTTTGAGGACTAAATTATCTTCTGAAAACTGTCCCTGATTACTACCCATCTCCCAGTGCACACCAGGGACCTCCCTAGGAATTCCTGTGATACTCCCATGCTTCCTTGTGTTGTAGCAGTGAGCACAGTATATTGTAATCACCTCTGTCCTCCGGTGGATTCTATACTCTTTGAGGGCAGTGACTGTAGCATATTCATTGACACAGTTTCAGTTCCCAACATGATGCTTGCCACATAGGTTATGGTCAGTCATGTTTGAATGAATGAGCGTATGCATGAGTATGCTTGTATTTCCTTTACATCTTGCCTCTGGACTAAACTCTCCACTCTTTCATCTTTTCTGATATGGCATTATTTCTCGCCCCCTCATTCTTTTACTCTTCTTTGGATATCTCAGTGTCTCTCTTCAGGTGCTGTACTCAAGTTACAGTTGTAGCACACTGAAATTTTTTAATGTTTTTATTTATTACTTTTTTAGAGACAGGGTCTTTGCTCTGTTGTCCAAGCTAGAGTGCAGTGGTGTGATCATGGCTTACTGCAGTCTTGACCGCCTGGGCTCAAGTGATCCTTCCACCTCAGCCTCTCAAGTAGCTGGGACTACAGGCTTGCATCACAATGCCTGGCTAAGTTTTTTTTTCTAAACTTTTTTTTTTTTTTTTTTTTTGGTAGAAATGGTGGTCTTACTATGTTGCCTAGGCTGGTCTCAAACTCCTGGGCTCAAGTAATTTTCCCACTTTGGCCTCTCAAAGTGTTGTGATTACAGTCATGAGCCACCATAGCTGGCCTTAAAATGCTTTTAAAAGTGATTTTTGGATATCTTAGGTCACTGTGACATGCAGATAAATGAATTATTGAGTAAACTGAGTCACAAAGAAACTGCCACGATATAATTTTCTTTTTTTTTTTTTTAACCAGACCAAGTTCATAGCCAGATAGATACTGGCATAATGAATGCAACAGTATTTTCCTTTGTTACTCTCAAAGCATGGTTTTTTTTTGTTGTTGGTTTTTTTTTTGCCTTAGGTGTTTATTAAACTGAGCTTACTAATCCACATGGTATTCTTAGGCAATAATTACTGAATTCAAGTCCCATTGCCAAGGCAAGGCCTTTGCTAAACAACTTAGCTTTCTCCTTCTGTAAATTAGGATGATTAAACTTTCCATCTATCTACTGCTGGTGTTAGAAAGATTGATGAAGCTGTATTAGGAATCACGTTTTATTTCTTGGATGAAAGGCATTTTATAAATGCAATGAATCAAAATGTTATTATTTCAAGTTTATAACATAATGGAATATCTGTGTAGAAACCTTGCCTGAGCTTTCTTTGATTGTGTCTTTACAATAATTGAAACTATCAAATAGGGAGTAATTTGTGGGAAAACTAGGATCTGAATGTTTCCCAGAAAAAAATGTGTGTGTGTGTGTGTGTGTGTGTGTGTGTGTGTGTGTATAAGAGATAGTCTGACTTTGAGCAAGGTATGTACCTTATAGGTCTGTATTTTCGTATCCTTTATAAATTAGGGATAATAACTATACCCAGAGTATAGTTATTATAAGGATAATAAGCACAGTGCATAGCACATGGTCATCACTCGATCAATGGCAGCTGCTGTTACGTTAACTGGACTGATTTTAGGCAGCTGTATTTTTTTTTCGGTGTATGTTTCAGATTTCATTCTGTTCTACAAAATTGTTCATTGCCACTTTAGTGCATGGATTCTTAGACTTGGTAGGACATTATATTAATGTCAAGAACCCTTGGATGAGGACATACTTTATACAATCTAGGAAAATAGGGACTGAGGCTCCACAGTTTACATTTGACCATAGCAAAAGTTTAAGATGTATTTAGAAAGAAGAGTAATTATAACTAGAAATGGTAAAGTGTGATCAAACTTGAAGTTTGAGTCTCTCTCATATGTAACCTATGAAAGGCACCACATGGAATATGTGTATCTCATATTAGGTCTTGAGTTCTTTCTCTTTTTGTTCTTTTTCTTTTTTTTCCTTTTTTTTTTTTTTTTTTGAGACAGGGTCTCACTGCTGTCACCCATTCTGGAGTGCGGTGGCACAATTAAGGGCCACCACAGCCCCAACCTCCTGGGCTCAAGTGACCTAAGTAGCTAGGATTACAGGCCCATGCCACCATGGCTGGCTAAGTTTTTTATTTTTTGCAGAGATGGGGCCTTACTATGTTGCCCAGGCTTGTTCTTGAACTCCTGGGCTCAAGCGATCTTCCTTCAGCATCCCAAAGTGCTGGGATTACAGGCTTGGGACACTGTGCCTGGCCCTTTTTGCTTTCCGATGTATTTATAATCTTAATGTCTTACTGCATTACTACCACTGCCACCATAGTATAATAATAACCAGAGCAGTGACCACCATTTATGGAACCCTTTAGCATATGCCCAGTCATTGGGCTGTATTTAAGGGTGAGAAGAGAATGGAGTATATAGAATAAGTGAGATGTGTCTGTGTTCTCAGGGAGCTCCCAGACTCTGCCATATTGGGGGGGGTATGGAAGGAAGAAAAACGTCTCTCTATGGACAGTTAGCGCTGGTAGGTAGGTAAAGGGCTAAAGGAGATAGATTAAGCATAAAGTTAACAGGCTTTAAATCTCAGATAGAACATTCCTAGGGAAGGTGCTATTTTATATGCTACTCTACTAGGCAGGTAGATGTTTACAGGTATAACTCATTATAAGGCTAGATGACTTCAGAGCTCCCCTTGGCTACCATTCTTTCTTCAAGAAGTTCTTTCATGCCAGGTGCAGTGGCTCATACCTGTAATCCCAGCACTTTGGGAGGCTGAGGTGGGTGGATCACCTGAGGTCAGGAGTTTGAGACCAGCCTGACCAACATGGAGAAACCTTGTCTCTACTAAAAATACAAAATCAGCTGGGCATGGTAGCACGTGCCTGTAATCCCAGCTACTCGGGAGGCTGAGGCAGGATAATCTTTTGAACCTGGGAGGCAGAGGTTGCAGTGAGCTGAGATGGCGCCATTGCACTCCACCTTGGGCAACGAGAGCGAAACTCTGTCTCAAAAAAAAAAAAAAAAGGAGCTCTCACTAAACTCATCGACATGAGTGTTAACATAGTCATATATGTTCAGAAAACACTTTAATATTTCCTAAATAAGTATGGGAGCTGAGTCTCATACCCATAGGAAAGGAAGAAAGCCAACTAAAATGTATTAATTTTATTTATAAAAACATGCCTACTATGGACAAGACACAGTGCTAGTTTTTTTGTAATATTTAATTTTCCTGGTTGCCCTATGAAATTGGTATTTTTCCCATTTTACAGATAGAGGAAATTGAGGTTCAGAGAGGATAATAACTTGTCCCAGATCACACAGCTAGTGAGTACCAGGGTTTATTTCTATACTTATTTGCTTCCCAGGAAGCTGAATTATGATTTTTAACTGTGTAAGAGATGAGGACTTAAATTATCTATTTTGCCTTTTGAAGTTCTATAATCTTTGTTTGCCGTGAATATTAGTGCTTAGCAGATGAGATTGTCCGCATGAAATTGCCTCTGAAAGACTATCTAAAGACAGTAGAATGAATGACCAAAAAATAGTCACCGAAGTAGTTGATAAAATGTTGTAGCTTCATCTTGACTGTAGGCTTCTTTATTGATTTAGATTACTAATAGGGTTTTAGTCTCTTTATTTGATACTTTTGGCATTTGGCCAGTTACTTTTGAAAAAAATTTATATTGGGAGAAGGATGTGAAGAGTATGTTCAATGCCTATACCTAAAAGAAATGGTGTATTTCAGTCTGGAATTTTCAGTGGTGTTCAGAGGTGTTGATGATCTTGCCACTAAAAATTATCTTTCCTTTTCAGCTTAAAGAAGTCTTCTGCTGAACTGAAAAAAATATTAGCCAATGGCCAGGTAGGTATTAAGATATATTAAGATTTTCACATAGTAATGTATTACTGTCCAGCTTTTGTATCCATAAGCTTATTAAACAGATAAAGAGTGTGAATTTCCTGTCATAAATGAATAACATGGCTTAATTTGATTGGCAGAACAATTTGCAGGCCGTTTTTCAAACTGTGCTAATGGGTTTCACTCCCAGCAGATTGAAGTACCATGCACACACCCTGCTGCCATCTCAGTTTTTAAAAAGTTAATCAGTTCTGAACAAGTATGTCAACTCGTGGGTTGTTGAAATGGCCCTGCATTCTGAGGTGACCGTTTCTTTCATTATCTTTGGGGAGAAAAGGAAAAACCATTACTTTCTCACCTTCGTTCCTTCTTTTGTCCTGAAACTAACACTGGCTTTTTAGGGAAGTGGAGTGACAGCAGACCTTTGGCATATAAAATTCCCGGCCTTCAGGAGACCTTGGTTTGCCTAGTAGACTGGTCATCTAAAGCTGAATGACCTAACCCAGCCAGTGAGGGACAAACGGGCCTGCAGGCCAGTTATTTCTTAGTAATTTTGACTCAAGTAAATGGACACATCTGAAATAGTATAGTGCTTTTAAACATACACTGGTAAATTAAGCTACCTACAGGGTCCTCGATTCTTCAATAGCAACATAAATGCGTTTTAATGTTTGTTATAGTGGAAGCCCTTTGATAGCCTTGGAGGCAGGGGCCTGTCTATTGCGATCAAGCCTGCCTATTAGGCTCTATTGACTGAGACATCTGTGTCACTGCAAATAAAAGACTCTTATTGATTTTCTTAACTGCTGTTCACTTCCCGTCCATGTTTCGAAGGCTGAAATCTTAATTATCTCAGATGCTTATTCAGTGCCGTCACACGCTGACCTCTCCAAGCCTCATTGGCATTTCATGAATCAAGTACTTGTAGTGGAGCATGTCAAGAAGACAAAGCCAGGTCTTCATGCCTGCCCTTTAATATCACCTGTAACATTGTGGCCTAATAGATGTGCATGCCTTAAAACAGTGCTGTATGGTAGTGCTTCTGGAGGCCTTGCCCATTTAGCACACATTTCCTTGAATACAGTTAGAAGAAATTAAGTTGATCTGCTTCTGACACCTGATTGCCATCCAGAGTATGTGAATTCTAGTCCTTAAATATCCTATATACAGCTAAGGAGAATCTGGTGGTGTATGTATAATCTTTGCAGTCTGAACATTTTAGATAGTATTTATCTAATACCTTTAACTTTCAGCAGCCAAAGGGCGTGTTTAGATTGAGGTCCACATCTATCTCCCCTCAGTGCCTTATATTTTGTTAGAACCAGTATATGTAAACCAAATCTGACTAAAAGCAAAAATATTGAGCCTAGGATATTTATGTATCTTCAACATGCTTGCATTCTAGTTACTAATTGTAATTTATGTATGAGTCACTTGTGTTCTTCAGCTGGAAAATATATTTCAAAATTGACATAAATTAAGAAGCTTTAACTACATTTGTTCAGCCCAGGCAATGGAAAATAACCTGTCATAGACTCTTCTTTCAAAAATGAAAAACAGTTTTTTCCACTGCAAAAAATAAGCATTCCGATATGCTCATAATGTTTTGACGGTAAACCTAGTACCATAGATGTCTTAGTGGCTTCAATTATGAGGTTCTCTATGGTGGGAGATGTCATGGCAAGGATTTTTGACACTTAAAGATTGTCTATTGCTTTCCTTTGGGAATGTGATAACCTCATATTAAACAATAGGACTTTTTTTTTTTTTTTTTTTTTAAATAAGGATTAGCCTTTCTTACATTTACTTGCACTCAAAAAATCCCCTCAAAAACCGAAAAACCCACCTTTGGAAGCTTTTAAAATGTCTCCTTCTACTAATTCCTTAATTCCTTAGTGCTATGGGGTAACTAAACAGTGAGTGAAATTGCATTGCAGTGAGGTACTATGCACAGTTGTTGGCATCAATAAATTTCTGGGCTAAACACTGAAACCACTTGATATGGAAGATGTAAGTCACATTTAATGATACTTTAACACTTGAGCATAGTTTTTTATTTTAGTGGTTTATGCTCTCAAGCATTAATAATGATTTGCCTTTCCACTAGCCTCCACTTAGATTTAATAAGGAATTCATATTAATCATTAAAAGAAAGGGACATGATTCTTCAAGATAATCAAATATTGACAAGTTAGAAATAGCTTTCTGCCTGGGTTCATTGATATAGGTTATGTGATATAAATATTTATTTCTTTTCTGTCACTCAGAGTAAATGCCACCAATTGATTCAGCATTGATATAGTGTCAACAGTTCATAAGAAACATTTGACTGGCCTGTGTTTTCCGATTAGTCTCTGCTCTATAAAGTGGGATTTACTAAATCTCTCCAATTGTCTGCTCATAGAGTGTGACTGCTTTCTGAAACCATTATTGCTTCGATTTGTGAAGCAAAGGTCTAGTGATGGGACTAGTTTCTGTCAGACCTTTACATATAAAATAAGGATTAATTGAGCATTTTTATTTTAATGATTTATAAGCAATAGGTACTGATTCTTCTTAATACAGACAGACAATAAGCAAAGAATATTTTCTTTGCTGGTTCATAATTGAATTCCATTTCATTTTTCCCATTAATTTCATTAGATCAAGCACTTCTTAAAAAGTTTAACATACAATCTTTGGAATGGAGACATTGTTTTCCTGTTAGCCCTTTTAAGTTGAGGTAATTCCATTTTTGCAGCTTAAAAAAATAAATCAGAAGATATTTTTGGCATGTTTTATTGAGAGCTATAAATCAGTCGCACTGATGTGTTTTTCCTACTTCAGTTCTAGTGTGGCATCATCTGTTTAACATTGGCCCTTGATTTGAAACTGATTAGAAATAGCCCAGAGGGTCAATTTGAAGAATTTAAAAAGTGCACACTTACTCCAAAGATAGTGACTTTGGCTTTTGCATCTCTAAAGTTATTTTTTTCTTTTTCTTTTTTTTTTTTTTTTTTTTTGTTTTTTCGATTTTATGGAGAGGGTGGCAGTATTTTCCAAGTATAAATCTACTCAAATCAGATCTAGAACTAATTCTGGTCCAGTTGTATCTTTTAGCTGTTATTTTGAGAACTTCAGAAAGCCTTTAGAAAAACTTCAAAAACCTTTAGAAAAATACTGACCGTTTTTCTAAAGTTTTTCTAAAGGCTTAGGTGGTGGCTTATGCATGTAATCCTAGCACTTTAGGAGGCCCACTTGAGGCCGGGAGTTTGAGACCAGCCTGGCCAACACGGTGAAACCCCTTCTCTATTAAAAATATTAAAAATTAGCTGGGTATGGTGGTGCACGCCTTTAATCCCAGCTACTCAGGTGGCTGAGGCATGAGAATCACTTGAACCCAGGAGGCAGAGGTTACAGTGAGCCAGTATGACACCACTGCATTCCAGCCTGGGCAACAGAGCAAGACCCTGTCTCAAAACAAAAACAAAACCGAAAAATGAACAACAGGATCACCTTTTTATATTTAGGAAAAAAAAAAGGGGAGAATAGGTATCTATTGTAAAATTAGGTTTAAAAACTATTATTACTAGTATATGTAACTCTTAGATTCTTACAGTTCGTCTTAGATTACATATGAAGACTGAAGCATGAATGAGACTGTGTATGTAAATCTAAACTACACAGCAATCCTCCTTTACCCACCCCACCCAACCTGACTGCCCAGGGGTTGTTGCTGTCTCTGTTTCTTTTACAGCCCCTGCCTCTCTTGCAGCAGGAACGGAGCTCAGTGCCAGTCATTTCTCTAAGGTCATTTGCTATCTTGGCAGTTGACATGTAATTGTAACTTTTGTGGCTTTTTCTTCCTCCTCCCTCACATTTGTTATTCTGCCTTTTTTTTAGTCAAAACAAGGAAACTGGACTGTATTTAAAAATGACTCAGTATTGTTATTGAATAAAAATCCTTCACCTCTTTTCAATTTAAAGAGCTGTTTGACTTTAAAAACGTTTTTCTTCTTAAACATCATAGCTAATGAAATTGCTTTTAACTGGTGAGTGTCTTTTAGTTAATTGTGTACCTTCCTGTGGGCCAGTGGCCATTGATAGGAATGTCCCTCCATACTTAACACCCGAGACAAACTGCTGAGCTATGATGTTGAACTGGAGTGTACTGAAAGACTGAGTTCTAGCCTTGACTAGCTGTTATTGACTAGTCATGCAATAAACCTAAGTGAAGTGGGCTAAGTGGTCTCAGGATGCTGTAAAATTCTGTGATTTTTTAAAAAAATGATACTTGATCCCAACTGTAATATTTAAATACAATATTCCATAAGCTTATAAATATCACTTTCTTATATGATGAACACTCTTTCTATGCTTCATTTTGAAAAGTTGAATTAATATTCCTATCTAAATGAAAAAGGCAAAAATACTACTAGTTGATTTTAGTCCCTTTAACGAGTTTTTCATAGTTAAGATCAATTAAATTAACCCATTTGATCAGAGATAGGAATTTCTAAAAATATTTTTTATAATCAATTCTTGGCCTCTGCCTTGTTTTTCCTATCCCTCCCAAATGTTTTTACATGAGGAGTATTTGTACAGCATAATAAAATTAGAAAATTTAAGCAAAAAGAAAAATAACCTGATATTTTTTAATATTAAAAAACTATCAGGCCAGGCATGGTGGCTCGCACCTGTAATCCCAGCACTTTGGGAGGCTGAGGTGGGCTGATCACCTGAGGTCAGGAGTTTGAGACCAGCCTGGCCAACAGGGTGAAACTCCATCTCTACTAAAAATACAAAAATTAGCAAGGCATGGTGGCGCACACCTGTAATCCCAGCTGCTGGGGAGGCTAAGGCAGGAGAATCACTTGAACTTGGGATGTGGAATTTGCAGTGAACTGAGATAGCACCACTGCACTCCAGTCTGGGTGACAGAGTGAGACTTCGTATGCCTTCCCAAAAAAACTCCCCAAACCAAAAAAACTCTCAATCAGTTCACAGGCCAAAGTTTGCATAACCTTAAAACTTTGTAGAAACACATTGTAGGAACACTTTAGTCACTTTTTATGGGTACTATCTAAGTGACATGGTTCTAGAACTTGCTCTTCAAAAAAAACTTGCTTTTTATGAGACTCTTGCAATCCTCCTGGTTATCTGAAGGATTCTATATTTGTCTTGATTTTTTTCTATCCTTGAATTTGCTTAGATAGTGATTAATGCACATGCACATACCCTTGCAACAAACATTCTTCCTCTCCCCTTCTCCTCCCTGCACTCCTTCCCCGCCTGTACCCTGACAGTGTTGGATGCCTCCCACTCCTTGTTAGGTTGGAGTGCTGGGAATGTGGATTGGGTAGCTTCTTCCCTTCTCTTTTTAACACTAGTGGATATCAGTGGTAAAAAGACTATGATACCAGGATTATACCATTTGAACATGCTCAGAGACATGCCATACCTACCCCTTTGCCTATGAAGTAGTGGAGGGGATATGACTGCAGACTGGGGTCCCTCCTCAGCCTAGACCCTATCTGCTACATAGCGGCTTCCAGCTTATGCTTAAATCTTCGTGCCACAAATTCAGAATTTGTGTACTTGAATGAGTGAAATGTCTCTCCTAGAAATTTATGTCAAGCCAGGATGAGAGTGCAGCTTGTTAGTTAATAGTACAAATCAGGTTGTTAGAGACAACGCTTAGATTACCTAGAGAAATTGTGCCCACCAATGGATACTGCTGTTTACCTATCCTTCATCGATCTAAGTTACCCAAACAGCAACTCTGCTAGTTTAGCATCTCGTCACTTTATGTGCTACTTTTCGTCATGCTGCTTTAAAATTTATCATTCCATTCAGAATAATGAGGTTTTATTTTATCTATACCACATCTTTTATACAGCTTAAAATATTTTTTTTCTGTATTAGTAATATAAAAAAGCAGATGAACAGAATTCCCCTCAAATAGGAAAATAGTTGCCAATTGTTCTGGTTTGTCTTTCATTACTTCACTGACCCTAAATATAGTAATTAGCTGATTTTAAATTGCATCAGTCTGGTTGTACTACAATTAAATTGGGTGCTGAATTGGCCTTTACACATTAATCTGTCAATATTCTTTTAGGATTGGTAAAACAGCTTGGAAAGGAAGCTGTTTCTGTTACCTGCATTGTACTCTAATTATCACAGCTCTCTGAAGCCTCAACTTCAGAAATGTGTAGAGGGAAAATATTTCCCTGGGTAAATGAACCCTTGCTTTATTCAATTGGTGGAAGTTTAGAGTAGAGCAAAATATTTAAAGCTTTACTATACTGGTCTGAGAGCAAACTATTTTTTTTCCAAGTGATATTGAATTAAAAACTCCATCCATTTTCTGCCCATGCAAGGCAGTGCAATTCCCTGGAAATTGATTTTTTTTTTCAGGGCTTACTGTGGCTTTTCCCAAGCTTTAGCTCTATGGAAAATGACACCTTTATTAAATCCACTTAGTGAATAAAGTTGGCAGTTAATTTTTAAGCATCTGGACTGGTGTGTAGAAAATTACTGAATGTATCAAATAAAGTCTGACTAGTCTTAAAGTCATTTGATAAATAATTATATAGGGAGCTCTCTACAACTCTTAAAACATTTTTTTGTGGGCACTAGCATAATTCACCTACTATTCATGATACAAATTTGTGGGATAATAGGTTTTTTAGAGCCTTGGAAAACATGCAAACTGTTTTATATATTAAGTTCTGAAAATGACTTATATTTAATAAAAATTACATGCTGATGTATTTTTCTTTTATATGTTATAATATTTGACTATATGTGCATCTTAAGTACACTGATTTGGTACTTTTCCATCTTTATAATGTGATTTCTACCTAATATTGCTGTATACTAGTTTGTTATTTGCAGAGAAAGCTGTATCTACTCTAGGAAAATCATAAACATTTAGTTTGTTAGGTGTTAATTATGGAGATCATCTGAGGAGTTTTCTAGGGCTGATTTATTTACAGATCATGCATTAGATTACTGAGAGAGAGAGAGAGAGAGAGAGAGAGAGAGAGAGAGAGAGAGTGTGTGTGTGTGTGTGTTGTCGTCTTCCTAAGTTTGACTTTGGTTATGTGCAGTGCTCTTTGGCATTGGTTATATGCAGTCCTGGAGACTGTTTTCTTATCAGTATCTCTGACCTGACCCTTTTGAGCTATGTTATATCATTCCATTTTGACACCTTTTATCAAACTTTAATGAAATGACCCAGGCAAACAAATTGTCATTAAACTTTCCATCACTTTGTCCCTTGGTATCGTCTTTTATAAATTGGACAGCAAATGTTGTATTGATCTTCTTGTTCTTGCAGCTGAACTTGAAATGACCCAGACTGCTTGTTGTTTATGGCCCAGAGTTGCTTTTCCTTGACATTTCCATCCACAGCATGACACCCTTTTTGTTTTTCTTTCTTTCTTGTGGAGATGAATGAACAAGACATACGGTATCGGGACACTCTTGGTCATGGCAATGGAGGCACAGTCTACAAGTGAGTAGTCAATTTTGTTTAAGCTTTCTATCCACTTTTCCAAATACTGAGTATCCAAGTTCTCTGTGATGAAGATTTTTAAATGACCACTAGCACTTAGATTTTATTTCCATATTTGACTCCAAAATTCTGCAAGACATCTATTTTCTCAAGAATTGCCTGGAAAGTGCATTTATATTGCCTTTTTAATATTTCCGTGTCTGCATCTCTCCTGAGTGTGTAGTTAATAGTCCGCCGTTAGTAAGTGTACCTTTAACTGGCCTGAAGTTTAATGCATTTTTTTCCTTTGCTTTTTAACACTATTATTATTATTATTATTATTATTATTATTAACTTGCTAGCACCCTACACTAGTCCCCTGCCTGTTTACAGTTATGCCCAGTGGAAGCCAGACCTTATAAATACCATTGCTTTGCCCTGTGTCAACACTGTAAGTTATTAAAAAGCCTTCTTCCTGTTGTATTTTCTTCTCTCCTCACCCTGCTCCTCTGAGAGAATTTCTACACATTGATGAATATGTTAAGTTATAAAGTTCTCCCAAATTCCAGTTGCAGTGATCTTACCCCAAAGGAATGTTCATTTTCATATTAAAAAATGCTAGCCATAAAAAATAGTTCTCCAACAGGGAAGTCTTCTTATGCAGTAGTGCAAAGTTTAAACTACATAATGTAATATCTGGTACTTAATAGTCTGCAATGGTGTATGAAAAATATTCCACTAGGAATTAAAAAATCCATACTCTGTAAGAAAGCCCTGAGGGAATAATAAAACTTTCCTCTAGAGAGCTGTTTTCCATGTACACACTAACCCTGCATCGCATTATGGTTGTGATATCAGATCACAACCACAGATACTTTAACGTGGATATTAATATGTATTTCCAGAATTGTAAAATAATTAACTTATTTTCTAATTGGTTACCCATGTTCTTAGAATTTTAAGTTCTGAATAACCACATGAATACAGATCAAAAACTGCCCTATTCTATGACCATGAAGGTTTACATCCTAAAATCCCAGAACATCCCTTCTTACTGATGCAGCCTTGGTATAGAATTTGATTTCTCAAGCTTAGAAGCTCTTTTGAAGTCATTTGGTCCAGTAACCCATTCAGGGCTTCAGTGTCCCCTGCAGTTACAGCCAAGATGTGAGTCCTTTCTCCTGAGTATAGTTCTTTAAGAACTTATGTTCACATGTTTGGATTGTTTTTTCCTGCAGATGATTGAGCATTATGAACAGTTGGTCTGAAAGTGAAGTCTTTCCGCTATGATAATTCAGAGAAATAAATAATGACATGTTTCTTACATGTTTCTTGGGCCTTGGGCCTGGCCCTGAAAATGGAGGCCCAATGTGTCTAATGAATTTTACAGCTACCATTCTCCTTCCCTGGATCATACTAGCCTTTCTTCCCGCACAACCTTCAGTATAAATGGTATCTTCTCATCTTAGTCTTCTCTTCCTTACTGTCTGACTTGGATTTTTACCGTGTTCTGAAGGTTCTTGAGTTCAGGTACCTATAGAAAGGAAAGAGGAAGAAGGAACATGTACACTCTGATTTACTTCTATTGAGATCACTGGAAGGAACACTTTTCAAAGCTTGAAGCTTCGTTCTTAATGCCTTTGTGCTGATAGCCAAATATAATACACAAGAGACATTTCTGGCAGCTGTTTGTATTCCTTTTGTTGACTCCAAATGGAAATCAAAAGTGTGTCTTTAGACTCCTAACCTACTTATCTGTGTTATTTCACCAAATCTTTAGTTTTACATCACTAATTGAAGGTCTATTGTGAATTTACTATTCTAGAAGGGAAGAAGCCTAAGACCACAAAACCCCAGCAGAATTTTTACTAGACATAATATTCTATATAGATGTTGAAATTTTAATCCTTTATTTTGAAACATAGGTTTATTTTTTTAATTAATTAATTAATTAATTTTGAGATTAAGTCTCGTTCTGTTGCCCAGGCTGGAGTGCAGTGGTGCGATCTCAGCTCACTGCAAACCTCTGCCTCTCAGGACTCTCCTGCCTCAGCCTCCCGAGCAGCTGGATGTACAGGCATGTGCCACCATGCCCAGCTAATTTTTGAATTTTAATAGAGATGGGGTTTCGAACTCCTGACCTTGTGATCTACCTGCCTCAGCCTCCCAGAGTACTGAGATTACAGGCGTGAGCCACTGCGCCTGGCCGGGTTTATCTTTTAAAAGGGGGAGTGTACAGAGAAGTAGAAAAAACATGCTGATCCCCCAAGGAAAAATTAAAACGTGAAATTATGTTAATGTTGTTTTTAAAATTATTATTTTAAATTGTGGCGAAATACACATAACACAATTCGCCATTTTAACCATATTTAAGTTTATGGTTCAGTGACATTAAGTACATTCACATTGTTGTGCAACTGTCAACACCATTCATGCACAGAACTCCTCATCCTGCATGACTGAAACTCTCCACCATTAAACAGTAACTCCCCTTTCACTCTGTTGATGTTGTTTTTAGCTAAGAAGCATCGCTAGAACTTCTCCTTTCTTTAGGGCTACTGTATCAAAGGGACCATTCTTCCACATGTCCTTGGCACAAGTTTTTTAATTTGTTAGAATGCTGTGTGTGACGTTAGCAGCTTATCCTAAGAACTCGTTTAGCTACCATTGCTAATGCTACTGTGAGGGTTATAAGATGTAATGTTTTTGACATGATTGCTTATGGATGGTAAATTACAGTATCTTGATAATTTTAGTGCTTATTTAGTAGATTTCTTATACAAAGAAATTTCATGGTCGGGCACAGTGGCTCATGCCTGTAATCCCAGCACTTTGGGAGGCTGAGGCGGGTGGATCATGGTCAGGAGACAGAGACCATCCTGGCTAACACAGCGAAACCCTGTCTCTAGTAAAATACAAAAATTAGCCTGGCATGGCGGCATGCACCTGTAGTCCCAGCTACTCGGGAGGCTGAGGCAGGAGAATTGTTTGAACCTGGGAAACAAAGGTTGCAGTGAGCAGAGATTGCAACACTGCACTCTAGCCTGGGCAGCAGAGCTGGACTCTGTCTCAGAAAAAAAAAAAAAAGAAGAAACTTCATTTACCATATTGCCTGTATGATTCTTAAGAGGGGAGGTGAAGATGCCAAATTGCGTAACCACTTGTCATTGATCATTGGGTGTCATTTTTGCCTGGGCTTCGGCTTGTATTATTGTTCTTATATCCCTGGGTTTTAGTACAGCACAAAGAAGTGGTACAATCATCAAAAAATGTGGATCTACTTTACTAATGTCTATAAAGTAAGCGTTTGATATGTTATGATTGAGTTTCTTCTACACTAAGTTTACCTTAATGGTGTTGATGATAAAAATTGTGGGTTTTCAAACGGAATGATTACATTATAGGCTATGCTACATAAACTAGATGAAGAAAATATTGGAAAATCCACTCATTGGTAACAAAACTGCCTAATGGGCTTATTCCATTTTTTTCTTTAAAGTGTAATAAAGCTAGTAAGTACAAAGCAGAAGTTTAATAATGCAGTCTTACTTCACTTGATGGAATGTTGGGAATTTCAAGGGATGTTATAATCATGTGGAATTACCAGGTATATTATTTAACAATTGATACATTTTCCTACTTTAAGTGTAGATGTCCTTCACAGTTGTGCAATATGAAATTCGAGCCCCACACATTTAAACCAAATAGTAACATGTATTCTGTGTGCTATCCCCTGATTAGCTGTGTTCTATATTATGAGAGTGACTTAGGTAATTTTAAGTTGGTATTTCTTGGATTATGAATTTGGGCTACATGGAATGTAAAGGAATTCCTTAAAGTGTGGCCCAAGCCTAGGAAGAAGAAAAGTTTAGGAAAAGGTAATGAATATATTTTTGTTGTTGCCCCATTTCCTAAAGTGCTGCAAGTTGCTGAATCCTGCCTCTGTCACTAATTAGCTGTGTAACCTTCAGCAAGTATGTGATGTCTTATGCTTCAGTTTTCCCATCTGTAGGATGGGGGTAATAATAATATCTAGGTTGTTGTGAGGTTAAATGAGATGATCCATAAAAGGCTTAGCACTATGACTGAAACTTATTAAATGTTAACTACTGGTAATGGTAGTGCTAATAATAGAAAAATTATTTACATTCTGTATTTCCTACCCTGACTTGGCCATGGGACTCTTTTTGATGCACATCTATAAACATCTCACAGAATTATTGTTGTATTGAATTAACTTTGAGAAATCCTGCCTTTATGTTAACACACATTATACGTCTATGTTTTCTTCTATTCTGTAGTTGTTTGATAAATAATGATATCTTACATATTATCTTAAATACAATGATTTTTTTAAGTTTCAAAATATTTTTTAATCCTAATTTATTTTCGGATTGCTATAGGACAGCTGGTATAATGTTAAGCCCATTTTACCAGTGAAAAAACTAGGGCTTGTCATGTGGCCATTCAGCGGCAAAGCCAGATCTCTTCACAGCATTTCTTTTCTTTTTGCTTGGTGTTCTTCCCCCGGGCAGTGTTGTCTCAAGGTCGAGCAGCGTCCATTTTGTTTTCTTGTGTTTTCTCGTGTACCCAGCACAGTTTTAAGGATAAAATAGATCCTTAGTACGTCCTGGCTGAAATGACAATGAGGCAAGTAGAGGTTTTAGTGGGGCTCTTTAATTGAATCTTCCTCATATCTAGCTACTTTGAGAGGCTGTATAACATTCACTTAGAAGAAGTGGAATACCCAAACTAAGGAGATTGATATTTGCATGATTAACTTTCTTCAAGATGTTAAAACTTTCAGTGTGTACTATCTATTAACTCACTGGTCACTGTCTCCTTTTCTTGGATAGTATGTCACATGGAAATGAAAGTAATTAACAGGAACAGTTACTTTGTAAACATTGTTTGATTCCAAAGCCAGTCTCTCAAACTGCTTCCTTGGCATATCATTTGATGGCGTCACTCAAACTTTGGGTCTAGAAATGAAGTAATATTTAACTTGTAGGATTAAATCA